ACATGAGCATATAAATTAAAATTAATTTTTCCATTTAAATTTAATTCTTAGGGCATTTAATTCTCATTAGCATCTGTTTGAACAGTTTTAGAAAGCCTGAAGACCCTGATTCAAACGATGTTAATTGTACAAATTCACTTATAATTTTTACTTTCTTCCCTGTGTTTTGATTAATGTTGTACTATACAAAAGACTTTGTGGCCAGAGTTGATGAATTGTGATTTGAAAGGTAAAGGGCTTGCTTTCTGAGACCATCTGTTATAGTTGCATTGTCTGAAACTGACAAGAGATCATGGCAGATGGTGAAGTCATGAAGATTGACTTTTTGAGCTTGACATAACGTGTTCATGAAGCTGAAAGAAGAAAACCGACTTATTTTTTTAACTAACAGAAGAGGTGGGTGACAGAAGTGTGTAGTTATTGTGTCTGGATAAAATATAATGCTTCAGTGCACATGATTGGTTTGTTTGAGACTGACCAGTACTGCCAAAGACAGCAATTTCTTGTGCCATGTTAATTTACTTTCTGTAGACACTGGCTTAAGTCATATTGGAAATAATTTTTAGGTTAAAGGCAGCATAAAAGAAAGACAAGAAGTTTAAAAATACTTCGAAAATATTTTTTTTAATGAAAAGGTTATAAACTGTCAAAACCAATGTAGAATTCTTAATTTTTAATTGAATGAATGAGATGTCACAATCCCATTTCTTTTTATAATATTTATCTTAATGTACTTTTACATAATTTAAATTACATTTGAAGATTTATGCTTACTGTTTCTGTCTTCTACTGGGATGTCTTCAGTGCCTGGATTGCATCTATTGGACATTTAGTATTTGCTAGATGAGTAAATTAATGAAAGAAGTTATTACCTACACTGGTTAATTTTAGATTTTTTTTAAACCACAGTTAAACACTTTTTTAAATTGAATTTATGTTATGATAGTTTTCTGTGTATGATTTATTTATTTTGGGAAGAACCTTAATTTGTCATGATAAATCAGTGATCTACTTTACCCTCTAACTTTGAGTGCTTACCTTGTGCTTGGCGGTGTCCTAATAATTTTCCATGTAGTGCCTCATTTAATTTGATTGATTTTCTATCACCATTTTACATATGAATAAATTGAGGCCTGAGATGTTAAGGTAAATTTTCTCAAGAAATTTATGTATATTTGGCTCTATTTTAAACAGGGACAAAGGGAACACTAAAAATATTACATTTAGTTTTGTCAGGTTCATTAATGTGGCTAAGCAGTAATTTGATTGGTAACCTCTTACTATAGTGTGCTGAAAAGTAACACTGTCTATTTATTTGTATTTGTGCGAATAACAATGACACTCAATCAGGTATCTTTTAGGAAATACAATACTGCAAAGAATACTGAATACAGTAATGAAGCAGAGGCACAGAGACAGCTGCTGTAGCCATTGTAGCCACACTCCTAACTTAAAGAAATGGGGGAAAGTGGGAAAGAATATCTACTAGCCAAATCTGGTGGCTCCACTCAGCAATGTCTGCTCATAAATCATTAAGCCGAATTATGTCATAAGATCAAACACATCTGGAGGGAGACTGAGGATACAGTATTTTTAGTAGAGCAGCTTCCCCTAAGGAAAAAGATAGTGGGTAGGCAATAGTCTCTGCTTAAGAAATGTATAGGTAGGTTTCTAAAATTAAACACACTCAAACTATACTTTGGATGGAATAAACTCTGTTTTTTGTTATAACTGCATTTCAGTAGGCTGATCTGCTAACTTTCACTTTGACAAACTATAATGTATTTCTTTTTTTTTTTAAAGATTTATTTATTTATTCATACAAGCACTGGGTACAGTCAGAAGCGTGGGAGGGTGAGAGAATCCACCAGAGCCAGAGCGGCGGGGGTGGGGGGCAGAACAGGCAGACTAATGAAGTACACTGCTGAGAGGAGCAGCGGGTGTGGCAGGAGAGATCTACGCACCATGTGGGACCCTCGCCGTGGCCAGGGATCGAACCCGTGCTGCAGAGGCTGCGGGCAGCTTTGCAGCCCAGCGCTCAACCGCTGCACCACTGGGGAGCCCCCTGACAAACTATAATGTATTTCTAATATAACCCTAAAAACCTCACTCTACTTTTTCACGTGAGAGGACACTGAAGCTTGAAGAGGTTAAGTCACTTGTTCAAGGTTACAAAGCTATTAAGTGACAGAGCCAAGATAGACTGTTTAAAAAAAAAAAAATCCAGGGCCTCCCTGGTGGCGCAGCGGTTGAGCGCTGGGTTGCGAAGCTGCCTTCAGCCTCTGCAGCACCGGTTCGATCCCTGGCTGCTCCCCGCCCACCGGAGGAGGGTCCCACATGGCGCGCAGACCTCTCCTGCCGCCCGCTGCTCCCCTCAGCAGTGTACTTCGGTCCTTCTGCCTGCTCTGCTCCCCGCTCTGGCTCTGGTAAATTCTCTCACCCTCCCGCGCTTCTGACTGTACCCAGTGCTTGTATAAATAAATAAATAAATCTTTAAAAAAATAAAAAATAAAAAAAATAAAAAAATAAAAAAAAAATCCATACTCTTTCCACTATGCTGCACTGCTGCTTTATTAATCAGATGCCTACTTCAAGCAGGACACCTATGATCAGTTGCTATTTTATTATATTTTCCTATTTCATTAATTCTTCTCTTTAATTCTTTTCTCTTTGAGATTTAAGTTGGTTACTTAATAAAGTACAAATTTACCTCTCACTACTATTTCAACTGCACTTTGTAAGTTTTATTAATATTTTCATTGTCATTAAGTTCTAAATATTTCAAATTCATTACTTTGGGTTTTTTGATCAATAAACAATTTTATTTGACTTTTAACTTTTTAATGGCCAATTTATTTAATTGCATTGTAATCAGAAATATTATCTCTAATCTCTAAAATATTACCTCTTTGAAATTTGTTACTACTTCATTGGTTTTTTTTATATATAGGCAAATTCATAAATACATGCTTAAAGGATGTTTCATATTGGCTGGGTACAGGGTTCTGTGTAAATCTGTTAGATCAAGCTTCACTAAAATGTTAATCTTCAGAATGCAGTACTTACATCTTAGCCTTAAGTTCTTAATTTGAATGCGTCAGATAGTGAGCCAAACATCAAAAACTTGTGCTTTATTATTATCTTATAATACTGAAAAAGATGTAACAAATAATTGATAAATGTAAAAACAATTCTGGTTGTAGAAACTTGATTTTCACATTAGGTTGTGATAGGATTGCAAACAATCCAAATCTGTAACTTTGGTGGGAAAGTGAAAATCATAGTTGTGTTTCAAGAGTTTACTTGGATTTTTTAAATTTATGTTTTCACTGAAAAGTTACAAACTGGAAAAAAAAAAAAGGAAAGTTACAAGCTCAGTGTTATTGAAAAATAAAAATAGCTTGTTTTTCCTTCCTCAAAATTATATTTGTAGATATAAATTCTAGTATAAAAAGCAGATATTTAGAGCCTCCATTTCTTCAAGTCCCCATTATTCATGGTCTTTTCAAAGTTAAGTTTTATTTCACCCTGCCTCTTGAATGTCTTGTTAAAGTTTAATTTTAAAATAAAAGTTGCAAAAATAGAGCAAAGAATTTATGAATATCCTTCGCCAGAGTCTACCGTTATCAGCATTTTGCCACATATGCTTTGTCATTCTTACTTTTTCTATAGATACCGATTATGTAATTATTTTTCATCATTGGAAAGTAAGTTTCTGCCATCATAACCACCCATTCCTAAATATATTTTTTTCCCTAACAACAAACACTCAGCTTAAAAAGAGAAAAAAGAAAACTCACAGTACACTGATCAAAAGCAGGAAATACAATATTGAAAAGAATTCTTTGATCCAGTCTATGAGCCAAATTTTGATTTCTTCACTTGCCCCAATAATGAGCTTCATAGGAATGTTTTTTTTTTTTTTTTCTGGTCCAGTGTCTAATCCAGGAGCATGCATTGAATTTAACTTCATGTGTCTTTTTTTTTTAAATGTTTCTTAGACTTCATTATCTTTTATAACAACATTTTGAAGAGTTCAGGCTATTATTGTAATAGAATATTCCTCAATTTGAATTTTTCTGACATTTCTTCATGATTGGATTTAGATTATGGATTTTAGGAAGAAATACCTTTGAAGTGATAGTGTATTCATCTCAGTGCATCTGAGGAGATGCATGATGTTGGTTTGTCTGGATATTGGTAATTATTTGGTAGCTTTGATCACTTTGGCTACATTGATAGGTTTCTTCACTGTAAAATTTGAATTAATACATATTTTGTGGAGAGATGTTTTAAGGCTGTGTAAATGTCTTTTTTTTTCTTTACCAATCTTACCCACTGGTTTTAGCATCTATCAATGATTATTGACTAATGAGTTGTTTTTAAATAGGTGGCTTTTGAACCACATCATTCCTTTATATTTATCAGTTGGCATTGTATTGTAAAGAAGAACTTTCCTTTTATTGCTTATTTATATCAGTGTAGACTCCTGGATTATTATTTTATTCAATGGGTTTATGAGCTGTTACCGTCAGTATATATTTTGGTGCTCAGTTATCCCAAATTGTCCAATTGTAGGCCATTTAAGCTGGTTCCTATATACTTTTGATACAGTCCCCTCATTTTCCAGCCTTACCTATTCTGATTTATCTTGGACATTTCTTGCCCCAGCCCTGGAAACTGCTGTTTCTCCAAAAAGCCCCCTTGCTCTTTCCGTGGCCTGTCTGAAGCAACATTTAGTGTTATGTTTCAAAGCCCTGGCTCCATCACGTGGTAGCTGAGTTATTTGGTCATTTATACGTCTCTAAACCCCAATTTTTATCTGGAAAATGAAGATTACAGTGGGACATCCATCATAGTGTTATAAGGATTACTTAAATCTTTCACTGATGCACGTCACATAGTAAATGCATAGTAAATGCACGTCGCATAGTAAATATGATGTAAAGGTTGTCTGTTATTATTAATACATTTCTATTCTCCTTTTTCCCTTTTAACAGGATGTACTTTTGAAGAATTATTGAAGATGAAGTTTTTTTTATTTTTGGTTTTTTGTTTTTAATGGCTTTACAGAATTTTAAATCAAATACAATTTGACATGACGGCAAAAAATGTAAGTATTTGTAAATTTTAAATGTAAGTATTTTTGAAGTGATTTGCCCTGGTTCCTACACATATTTTCTTCACCATTGTGATTAACCAAATTGTCATTTATTTATAATTGGTTTTGTCTACGCAGTGTGACTTAGTAAACTTTCATGCTATTGCATATAGCACTCTAATGGGTGTGGTAATCTTCTTATGTATTCCTGCCAAGTTTCTCCTTAACAGTTGCAAAAGTGCTATCTCCAGCAAGTTTCCTACCTTCCTCCTTTTTAGGGTACTACAATATGTTTGTTTTGGTACTTTGGTTTCTTGACCATATTGAGAAAGTCAGTGCTTCCCTTTTGGATTTACTCAGGGAAATGTGTATACTCAGATGTTGCTCAGAAGAAGCTCATTATCTTTCCAGAGATGAGTCCTGATGGGACATTGTTTTTCAGATGTTCTGGAGAAGTTACTCAGTTTTTACTCCCTTGCTTGATCTATTTCCTTTCAAGTTGCTTTCATATTGTTGAGCTGTGTCAGTGTGTACCTGACACTGGTTATGGTGAGGGATTGTGTGAAAAAATAACCACTGAAATATATAAGGAAATCACTTACTGTTTTACTGTTCCAGATTATTATATTGGAGTCTTCAAATATAGGTAACAGAAACCAGCTTAGGATACCTAAAGCAAAAAAAAAAAAAAAAGGGGGGAATTTGTTATAAAGATACAGGTATGTCTCAAAGAATTCAAGAATAGAAAGATCTGGGTCCAAGGACTTTAAATTTATCAGAAATCAAATCCTCATTTGGTTTCCATCTGTCATTCTGCTTGTCTTTTTTTTTAAGATTTATTTTTTATTTATTTATGCATACAAGAACTGGGGTCTAGGGCAGAGGTGTGGAGGACGAGGGGGTAAGAGGAGTCAGAGGCAGAGTGGGGAGCAGAATAAATGGATTTACTGAAATACACTGCTGAGGGGAGCTGCAGGCAAGACGGGAGAGGTCTGCTCCACCACATGGGTTCGCTCCCTGGCTGGGGATCGAACTCATGGTGCAATGGCTGACAATAGCTTGATAGTGCTGATACTTAACTCCTGCGCCACAGGAGAGGCCCATCTCTGCTTGTCTTGGTGCATCTGCTTCATTATTCTGCTTCTTTCTGCAAATCATCTTCCTCAGTTCTCTAGTGTACTTCTCTCAGTGCAGTAGAACTGGCCGGTTCATAGAGAGAGAGAAGGAAGGAGGGAGATAGCCTGCCAGATCCTGTCTGTCTGTGTTAGCTCTGGTTTCATACTCCTTGGTTAGGAACTCCATACTACTTGAGTTCGAGTGTGATACCCACTAGTGGTTTGGTTGGTTGTGACCAGGAGAAGCAAACGTTTTATTTCATTAAAACGGTCTCAGACAAATAGTTCCATATACTACCCGTTATACATCTAGAGAATAACATTTAAAAAAAAAAAAACCCTTGTTACATTGTCTGTATTTTCCCATTATTAAACTTACATTAACTGCATTGCATTTAAGTGCATTAGTAGCTGTAAGCAAATCTAGATTTTGCTTCATTATCAATTAATTTTGTTAGGATAAATTATCAATAATCTGCTTTAATCTAAGACTCTTATATATGCTTATTAAAGTACCATTTGGGGAAAAGAAGAAACCATATTTCAGTCTGTATATTGGGGATTCTCCTACAGAATAATTATCTTGATTTTCTTTCCTGTAGAAAAAAAAAAGGTAAAAGTTATCTTGAGCAACAAGCTGGCTAACATTCAATTAGCAAGTATATCTTGGCTTGAAATGCACCTTGAATCAAATATAATCTTCCTAACCATATATACATTTGCTATATCAAAAGTTTGTTTTCCTGAAGTAACATAAAGCATTTGAACCAGTAGTAATTATACTTGGATTATTTTGGTTGTGTATTTGGAAGAAGTCGAACAGTGAGAAATATTTGTTTCTCCTACTGCTGCAACCTAAGGGAGAAGCATACGTGACTCTGACCTGCTTCTCATGTCTTAAAGAGGTAGTCTCAGGCTGGGCTGAAGCACTGGGAAAGAATTGAAATAAGATGTTTGAAAATATCCAGCCATGGCCAGTTTAGTAGCCATTCTGCAAGAAATAGGAACATTTTTGTGTCTTTTAATATGTTTGTCAAGATACTTACTGAGAGGATTATACCAGTTTACCAGTTTACAATGCCATGAACAATTTCTTCTCTTCTCTCCCCTCCCAAATTTTCCCAGCAAATAGTTATGTCTGAAACTGTGCTAGGCTTCTGTCTGGGGCCTTGCAGTCCAGAGAGGGACATCAGTGAATACATGGATGATGTCAGGTAATGATGTTATGAAGAAGAATAAAGCAGGGTAAGAAGGAAGGGGCAGTGGTGGGACGAAGTAGGGCTCTTTCTTTCTTTTTTTTTTTTTTAAAGATTTTATTTATTTATTTATACAAGCACTGGGTACAGTCAAAAGCACAGGAGGGTGAGAGAATTCACCAGAGCCAGAGCGGGGAACAGAGCAGGCAGACTGAGGAAATACACTGCTGAGGGGAGCAGCGGGCGGCAGGAGAGGTCTGAGCGCCATGTGGGACCCTCGCCCAGCAGCCGGGGATCAAACTGGCGGTGCAGAGGCTGCGGGCAGCTTCGCAGCCCAGCGCTCAACCGCTGCGCCACCCGGGAGGCCCCGAAGTAGGTCTCTTTCAAGTGGGTGTTCAGTAGAGTTATCTTCAGGGAAAGGACATGTTTAGAAAGAGAAATGCTCTTGAATCTCAATTCAAGAAAGAGCCAGTCATGTGGATATCTAGGGATGGAGCATTCCAGGTAGAGGCAGAAGAAAGTGTGGTTGTGCAGGGAACAGCAAGATGACCAGTTTACAGATGGAACAGACTCAGTAAGGGAGAGTGGTAGGAGATGATGTCAGAAAGAAAGCCGAAGCCAGATCCTGTGGTGCTTTGAAGGCTGGTGAAGAAGGGTGTGCATTTCAGATGTCAACAAGCAGCTTTTGGAGATTCTGTGGATAATTGCATGGCCTGAGTTAACGTTTTTTAACTTTGTTCTGCTGAGTGAGTAGACTGAAGAGAAGCACAGTTGAAGCAGGGTACTTATTTGTTACTTACCCAAGGTGTTCATACAACAGAGTATGTGATCTGGGCTAGGGTGTGATAATGGAGATGGCAAAAGTGACTGGATCTAGGATGTATCTGAGGGTCAGCCATGAGGGTTTAGATGTTAGGTAATTAGGGAAAAAGAGAAGACTTCATTATTTGATTGGTGGGATTGGGTACATGGCTATGCCATTTGATTACAGAAGAGGAACTCTTGGGGAAGTAAAGGATTTTGTCGCCAATTCAAAAATTGTTTTGAACATACTAAAGTTGAGAGACCTAAAAACTTTCAGGTGGAGATACTGGCTCGGCTGACTATGCAGCTTGTGGAAAACTTAGGACTAGATACAGCGATTTTAGAGTCATTTTCTATTAAATTATTTTAAAACAGTGGGAGTACGTGAGACTGTATAGTATGTATCTGGGTAGGAATGCATAAGGACCAAGGTCTGAGTACATTCTCCAACATCTGGGGAGGAGGAGTAGCAGTGAAGGAGGCTCAGTGAAGCCAAGTGAAAAAACATGTTTCAAGGAGGAGGAGGAGGAAGTGATTGTGTCCTGTGCCACTGAGAAGTGACTCTTAGTTATGGGAGAGATTGCTCAGGAGTTGTGCAGGCATCATTAAACATATATTCAGATACTTGCATCTTTATTTTCTGTTTTTCATTTTGCATTTCTCTTAGAAGAACAGTTTTTGAATGAAGAGTTTGCTTTTGCTTTATGCATGCTGGCTTCTAGATCTCTTATGGTTGCAAGTGATAGGAACCCTGTTCAAAATAACTTAAGAAGAAAAGCAGAATGCATTGATTCGTATAACTGAAAAGTCTGGAGTACTCTGGTTTCAATCACATTTGGATTCAGGGTATCAAATTATGATGTGAAGACTCATTCGCCCTCATGCCGTCTCTTGGGCATCTAGGGTAGAATAATAGCCTATATTGGCCTTCCATAACACTGCAGAGTGAGAGAGGGAACTCTTCTTTTTTAGCGTTTATATTTCAAATTCCATGGAGGAACTTTGGTTCACCCTGCTTGGAAAAGCCAGTGTGGAGAAGGAAGTGGGTTTCTCACTCTTTCTTTCTTTCTCTCTCTCTCACTCCACACACACACACACACACACACACACACACACACACACACACACACACGCACACACAGTGTATATATGTATAGTATATGTAAACACTATATATATGTGTGTATGTATATATATTTAGCTTAATCTCTGCAGCATCATTTCAAATGGCTTCTCATATAGTTTTCTATATAGACCATAAAGTTACTTTCACTTTTTAAAACACTTTATTTGTTTTTGCTTACATAGCTCATATTCATGAGACAACACTTTTGAAACTACTGGCCCAACGGGTGTGTGGTGTTTCGGAGCTTTTTTTTTTTTTTCACTTTTTTTTGCCCCACTTTTTTTTTTTCCACTTTTTTTTTTTTTAAGATTTATTTATTTATTTATACAAGCACTGGGTACAGTCAAAGCTCGGGAGGGTGAGAGAATTCACCAGAGCCAGGGCGGGGAGCAGAGCAGGCAGAAGGACCGAAGTACACTGCTGAGGGGAGCAGCGGGTGGCAGGAGAGGTCTGCGCGCCATGTGGGACCCTCACCCGGCAGCCGGGGATCGAACTGGCGCTGCAGAGGCTGCGGGCAGCTTTGCAACCTAGTGCTCAACCGCTGCGCCACCAGGGAGTCCCTGTTTTGGAGCTTTTGATTGGTATTGAGAAATTGCATTTCAGAAAGATCTTACTAATTTACAGTTTCATCAGTGGTGTATGAGAGTGCTGTTTCCCTGAGTTTTCTTTTTAATCGTTACCAATCTAACCAACAGAAAATGGTATGAAGTTTTCTGGTGTTTATTTCTCTGATTACTAACTAGGTCTAACTGATATTCTATATGTTATTGATCATTTGCATTTTTCTTCATAAATGGTCTATGTCAGTATTGAAGTGTTGAAAGCTACTGTCATTTGAATAACAATCACACTTTGCTGTTAACATGTTTGCATAATTATTTCATCTAAGGAGCTCTGAGTTTGTTGTATAGATAACTTTTGTCATCCCCACTTTGAGTGACTGTTCTAAGATTTCCTTGTTTATGAACAGTAAAACTTGACTTTGAATTTAGATCATCTCATTATAAATTGTTTTATTCTATTATATCAATATGAAATATTAACTGTCACTGAAATCTTAGTGCTGTTATAAGGGAATATGGTTTGATTTTTAAAAACTGGGCTTGGATGATTTTTGTTCAACAAATACTTGGTGACAGTTTACAGTGTGCAACACAGCGTTTTGAAGATCCAGATGGAAACTTCCTTCAGAAAAAAATCTTACATAAAATTAGTTCACTTTTTCTCTTGTTTTGTGACGCTTTATAGCAAGATTCTTTTTATATAAATAAAATAGGAAAGAGTGGCTAATATTTTCTTTCCTAGCCAATGTTTTTTACTCTCAAATAATCCACTTTTTCTTCTAGTCTTTAAGCTATAAAGTATTTATCATGCAGAAATTCTTGTTGCTGAAGTTTTAATTAAGTAAATTTTAGTAGTATTTATATAAACTCTAAGCACATACACCTCCCCTCCATTTATGAGATCAAAAGTAGCACACAATATGGACTCAAAACTGACCTTTATCATTTCACAGTATAACTTGTTGATTTTTAAGGTGCAGGTGTACAGCTGCTTAAAAAGTTTCCAGATTCGTTTGCTCTTTCACTGTACAGAAGTTGAACATTAAGAGCAGGTGTTTAAACATAATAACCCAGCAACTGTGAACTCTCGGCTGTGAATATGTGGTTTTAGTTGAGGTTTTTGCCGTTATCTTCGCATAATAACAAAATGGTGTGAACCATTTTGCTTTTGAAGTTATTGTAATATGTGTACTAACTGGTCATATTGTATTATGCTTGGGATATATTAAAGATTGCCTTTGCCTTCTTTGCTTTCTTTTTATAATAGAACACTAATAAATTTTGTCTTCCTCTTTTTATAGCGGAAGAGTTTAAAAGAGAAATACTTGTTAGTAGTAATGCCACAGTAATCTTTTAGCATCTACAATTGAAACGTTTAACATTAATATTTGTAAACAGCTCTAGAGATCCATGTGGTAGTAATTTGCTGCAGATTTTCTTGCAAAGGATTTACTTTACTTCTGACAGACTAAACTAGGCAGTGTTAAGTATCTGCCATTATCTACATATAATAAAGAAGCTATGTTTAAAATGTCTGTCTCAGCTACTGTAATAGAATTTGAATATTAAATGCTTAGAAGTAGGTTAGCCTCAGAATTACTTTTCCATGATATGAATAATATGCAGAACTATTTCTGGCAACATCTATCTTTGAAAAAAAAAAAAAAACAGCTATTAGTGGAGCATTTTAATTGCCAAATAAATAAATAACTAGTTCTTACATTATGAAATTGTAAAGTTTCACATGAGTGCTTATAAAGAATATATGATGTTAAAGCAGTAATAGTTTAAAAACATGTGCACAGATAAAACATTGTATAGTTTTGTGTTCTGTGAAACCTTTTAGCTTGTCAGTCCTTTGCAGGGATGTTTGAGGTGTCAGACTAACTTTAATGTTTCAAGATTACAAATCTAGCAGGATTAATACAATCATATAACATTAAGGGTAGGGCCATTTATCAGATGCTTCTTGTGTGTCGAGTTTTCCAAAAATGGAGCTTTTTTCCCCTCCTGATGTTATAATAAATATTTAAAAATTCTGTTTGATGATAGTACCACATTCAACTTTATGATTCTAGATAGTCCAGTGGATATCACATTAAAGGAAATTAATTTTTAAAAAGTAAGTTTATAAATACACTTGCTGTGGATAGTCTCTGAAGCATACTAATAGTAATAAAGCATGGATTGAACTGAGTTGTATTTAATCATTCTAACAACCTGAATTGGTAAGTACTTCCAGACCTTCTGTTTTCAGATGAAGAGACTGCATTAGAAAGAGCTTGTGAAACCTGACTGTGGCTACATACTTACCAGGCTTGATGAGCTGGAGTATTAGTCTAAGCAGTAGGACTTGAGGCCATTGAACCTCACCTCTGGGTGGTAGTATTAATAATCTTGATTCATTACATGTCATAATGTTAAATAACATTGTAGACAGTGATGTGAACACTAAAAATTAAGGGCAGGAATTCTGGTGTATCAGTTGTTTACTCCACAGCTACTACATTACTCGCTTTCAAAAAAAAAAAAAAAACACCAATAAAATCTGTAGATCTCAATTCTGCTCCTAAGTAACATTATTTTAATTTTTATCTTAACCTGGACAATTCATTTTTTCCTATTTCAAGCAATGTGGTAACTCCTATCATTGATATAATTAATTCCCTTTTATGTGGCTATGTATACTGTTTAATATGGACAGTTGGTAGAAGGTATAAAATCGCTTATAAGTGATCACATAATAGTTAATGTCCTATTTTTAATTTTTTATACTCTTCAGGTTGGTTTGACATCTACAAATGCAGAACTAAGAGGATTTACAGATCAGAATCTCAGTCCAACAAAAGGTAAGGACAGTTGAATAAAATTTATCTGTGTTAAAGAAATTGCTAAACTAGAAAAAAAGATTTTCTGCACTGAGTGTATCATAAAAGTCATATGAAAGGTGAAGAATAAAAGGGAATGAAAATGTGGGGGGGGGGTAGGGAGAGAGAGATGCTAAATCTTCACTGAGATCTCTTTGGCCATCCTTGATCAAAATCCTATTGCAATTAAACTATTTAAGCTTTCTTCTTGATTTTCTTGTTTGAGAGCCCTACTTCCTAGTGGTTTAACCTATAGAATGAAATTATCTATCTGTCTGTCCATCCATCCAACTACCCACCCATCCATCCTTCCTGTGTCAGTATATATTCCTGTGTTAGTATATATTCTTGTATCAGAAATCTGACCTGCCAATATAAAAACTTAGGCGGGATGCTGGCAACATCTTTCAGTATGGATGTTTCAACAGTCTTTTTGGCGTGTAGAGATAGTATACTGAAATTTTTAGTGTTGAAAGGACATGATGTCTGGGGGTGAGCTTCAAAATAATCTGCTGCGGGAAGAAAAGTAAAGTGGGTGACTTTATAGTTAAAATTGTCTTTGAGTTGATTAATTGATTTAGCTGGGTGATAACTATATGGGATTTCATTATTTCTTTCTCTCTTTGGTGTGAAATTTTCCATTATAAAAAAGTTGGAACAAAATGTATGGCATTACAATGTAAATAACTTTGAGAGAAGTATCAGCTTCCTTAAAGGGTTTATGTGTAAGGTGAGAAAAATATTCTAGAGAGATGGCTAGATACCTGTATCTCAGTGTAAAAACATGTAGCTTAGTAGTAATAAAAGTCTGTAGAATTATTCTGAGAAAATAGTGTGTTTTATGAAACAATGAAAGACATTTCCAGCCTTCATGTTTCTGGTTTTCCCTAATTTTTTTGTTGTTGTAAAATACACAAAACATAAAATTTAGCACTTTAACCAGTTTTTAGTGTATGTAATTGAATGCTATTAAGTATATTCATATTAAGCAACCATCATCCCGTATAACTCTTTTCATCTTGCAAAACTAGTACTCTCTACCCATTTAACAGTAGCTCCCTATTCCCTTGTCCACTAAAGTCCTGGCAACCATCATTCTAATTTCTGTCTCTGATTTTGCCTAATGTAGGTACCTTATAGACGTGAAATCATATGGTATTTTTGTTTTTACAACTGACTTATTTCGCAAAACAGAGTTCTCCAAGTTGTAACATATGACTGTCAGAATTTCCTTCCTCTTTAAGGCTGAGTAATACTCCTGTGTGAGTCTCTGTGTGTGTTTTTATCACATCTTGCTTATCCATGCATTTGTCTATGGACACTCAGGTTGCTTCCCTCCTATATAGCTGTTGTGAATAATGCCGCTGTGAACATGAGACGATAAATATTTCTTTATACTCTGCTTTCGTTATTTTAGGTATATACCTGTAACTACCATATGGTAGTTCTATTTTAATTTTTTGAGGCGCTGCCATTCTTATTTCCATAGCAGCTATACCATTTAACATTCCCACCAACAATATACAAGGGTTCCAGTTTTTTCACATCCTTACTTGTTATTTTTTTTCTGTATGTTTTAAATAGTGGACATCCTCCTAGATATGAGATGGTATCACATTGTAGTTTTAATTTGCATTTTCCTATGATTAGTAATGGTGTGCATTTTTTTAATGTGCTTATTGTCCATTTACATTATCTTCTTAGGAGAAATGTCCACTCAAGACCTTTACTCTTCTCAATTTTTTTTCACATCACGGCATATGTAGAATGTGATAGCATGTATAGAATGCACTGGGGCTAAACAAAGGAGGCTGCTGAAGGTCAGGGGTTAGATAACCAGGAACTCCAGCTGCCCTGGGCTACTCCTGGCTGCCCCAAAGACTGAGGTGATTGGCATCTTTGTACCCCTCTCCCCCCATAATCTATTTATAACATGAAGTTCGTAGTTTTCCACTCTAATAAAATGTAACATTCAGGTCAGGAGAAGGAACCAGGATCTTCAGGCTTGGGAGATATGGAAAGCTACAGTGCTAAGTAGTGAGGCTGAAATGATAGAGTGATTCAACCATCTTGAAAATAAGAAGGTAGCAAGTCATCATGGGGAAAGCAACATGGAATAACCTTCAAATGCAGAAGACAAAAGAAAATGAGGGTTTAGGTGAGGGAGATTTATGGTACATTAGGTAACTGAAAGGTAGGAAAAATAGTCAAAAGAAATTAGCCAGGAAGGTATGTTAATAAAACCATGTTTAGTTATTGAGTAAACCTTCTTGGTTTAACTTTATAGAACAAATGAAAGAGGATCATTTATGAGGCAAGAACTAGAGAAGTAGATTTTAGCGAAAGCTATTTGTTTAAAAAAGAAATTGTTACTCTTCTTTGAACTGATGTCTTGTGGCCCCCGAAGAACTACAGGTTATGTGAACCAACAGGATTTGGAAAGAGGTTTCTTATTAATTAATTTTCATTGGTGAAACTTAGTTAATCTTTATTACAGTTGACTATTGTTTTCAAAGTAAGATGTAGGAAAGTATTTCACGTAATTGAAGTATTTATGTAGTGATATTATAGAAAGTTTTAAAAATTAGCAAAAAATTCTACCATCCTAACTCTTCTTTTTTTGTGTATTTCTTTTCATTTATTTTATATAGAGATATATATTTATTGTTTTACATATACTTTTCTTTTTTGATCAAATACAAAAAATACTTTTCTATGTCTTGACAGTCTTCATAAAAGCCATTATTACAGCTTCATACTATTCTGTTGTGTTTATGAATCACAATTAAAAAACATTTTGCCATTTTCTGTTTTGGGGGGTGCTGGACTTCAGAGTATAAACACATTGAGCTACACTACACCATGCATTTCCATTTTCTTGTTGATAAACAGTTGTCTTTTTATTGACTTTATGTGTGTATATATTTATATACATGATATATATTTGATATTGAACATAAGCATGATATTGGGCATCATAATGAATATCTCTGGTCACCTAATTTTTAAAGATTTATTTATTTATGCATTCAAGAGCTGGGGTACAGGCCAGAGGTGTGGGGGATGAGAGGTTTCACCAGAGACAGAGCAGGGAACAGAATAGGCAGACCAACCAAAGTACACTGTCATGAGACTGAGAAAAGCTTCATAGGTTGCATCTTAACCCCTTATGCCACCAGGGAGGCTCCTAATCACCCAAATTTTTTCCCCTTTTATTTATTTTCTTAAGATGAATGTTCAGAAGTACAGTTACTTGGTCATTCCCTTGCTCAAAACCTTTTTAACAGCTTCCTATTTTAGTCACTAGAAAGCCTCAAACTCTTTACTACAAAATCCTACATTATGCTCCTGCGTGTATGTTCATCCTTATTTCTGTCACCTTATTTGAGCCCGCTATGCTTCAGCCACATTGATATTTCTTTTAGGAAGTCAGCTGGAACTACTGTGAAGTTTTAAAAAAAGGGTTGATTTCTTTTGACCATATAAACTTTTAAGAGTACATTAGGGAAGTAATCAAAATATAAGAAAATAACCCATAATTCTTTATCTTTGGCTTTTAGCATTTGATTATAATGTTCTTATATGTTGTTTTCTTAGTATTTATTCTTTGGGTTCACTGAATTTCTAAGGATTTTTTTTACCAAATTGAGAAAGTTTTGACTTTGTGAATTTTTTCCTACATCTTGTTTTGCTTTCATTTTGAAATTCCAATGGGATATAAGTTAGATCTTTTTTTATTGTTCTGTGGTTCCCAAAGTTCTCTTCATTTTTTCCCCCATCTTCTGTGCTCTTGAAATTTTCCGTTAATTTATGTTCGAGTTTACTTATTTTTATTCTGCTGTTAATCCTACCCAGTAATTTTTATTTTAGATACTGCATTTTTCAGTTAAGTTACATTTTCTACTGAAATGTCCTCTCTTTTTGTTCATTGAGACACTTTTCTGTAATTCCTAAGTATAATTATAATAGCTGCTTTAAAATCCTTCTCTTGGTTCCAACATGTTGCTCATCTCAAGGTCAAATTCATTGATTGCCATTTCCCTAGAAAATGGGTCATGGTCTCTTGTTTCTTCATGTATCACCTAATTCTGAACATATCCCAGACTTTGTGAATATGTCATCATGACCCTGGACTTTTTTATTTTCTCTCAAAGTGTTGTTCTTTTTGTTCTTGTGGGCACTTAATTCACTGAATTGTGACTACAAATTCTGTCTTCTTGTGGTTAAATGGAAATTGAAATCTTAATTTAGTATTTAAATGTTTTAACTCAATTATGATGCTTACAGTCTGACCTGCGAATCTATGGTTCAGGCATCAAAGACTTACACCAAGTTTATTTATAGAATCCGGGGTTTCCCCTGTCTAGGTCTCTTTTTCTCTCAACAACCCCCACCCCTACAACAATGCTGTTTATCATAAACTGTTATTTAGTTTACTCCAGTAAGATTTTTTTTTTTCCTATGAGAGTTTTTAGCACCCTGCATAGTATAGACTGCCTGTCTCCCTTTGGCGAAAAGCCATAAGAAATGGGAATCTCACCTGGCTAAACAAATGTGATTCTGGGGGTTTCTCTCCATAGCTTTCAGATTATTTTTCATGATTTATCCAGATTTTAAAGTTGTTACTGGCCTTCAATTGGCTAAATATACCTAGATCACAAGGACAAAGGTTGTAAGAGGGTGGAGTTCTTTCTGAGAAAAATTAGGAGCCAATTACTAGAAGAGGGAGGAATGGGTAGATATCAGGAGGGGAAAAAGTTCATACATCTGTAAGTCTGTAACAAGACCTTTGTCTTCTAATCTATGAAACAGGAAGACTACCCCATCCCTTCCAACCCACCCCCCCACCCCAGCCTTGTGAGACATAAAGGAGATTATGAAAGGGAAGCTCTTTGCAGCCATAGAAAAACCATGTGGGTACAAAGTCTGGTGCTTACATGAGCCCCAGAATCACCTTTTCTGTTCCCTTTGAGGCCATAAAA